TGTCAAACCGGATCAAAGTTTTGTCTCAGTTTCATTCAGCTTTTTTTTCGCCCTACTCGATAATGCTCCTAAATGTTGTGGATCATTTAAAAAAGTCCAAGGATCTGACGGTGTTTGATGAAAATACGAAAAAAAAAAATACGGAATTTTAGTGAAATCCTATCAAATCTTAGGAATTCTTTAAAAGTTAGATGAAAACTAGTAGTAGCAGCAGATAGAGCTTGAGAACCCGAGCGAAATCGACACAAAAGCTTGACGGAATTTCACAGATTTCGACACCGAAAATCTAAAGCTTTTCTGAGGGAGACACCAAATCTAAACTGAGTCAAACCGCAGTCGGCAACAGTTGATTTCAATCAAACCAGCGGTAGCAATGACAGGTCACTAATGCAGGCCTCGCAGCCGTATTACTTTCCTGATTTTTTCCTGGCTTTTTAGAAATGTCCTGATTTTCCTGATTTCGATGCAAAATCCTGATTTTCTCCTGATTTTTTAATGATTTATTCCTATAGGGCTATAACTAAACGGTTATAATTCATTCTTTTATTATCATCAACTTATTTTTCAAACTTCATCTAAAAATATCTGTAGGCTAACTTAAAACAGAAATAAAGATGATATTCAAATAATAGTTAATTCAGCCACTCTTTTTTTGTTGTTTTTGTAATCAGTGTAGGTTTTCAACATTCTCAAACAATTGAGTTTTCAATATATAGTTAGCTCAGCATTAGCAATCAGAGATGTGTACCGTGTCTAAAACACTAGATGAGTGCAGTACGAAGGTCGATAATGGTCACGAAACATCGGTGAAGTCGACCATTGCCCTAAAATCTTTTCGCTCGACGGTCGCATCTCACATCAAGTGGAAATTCTTTCCCGATAATTTTCTGTATGCGTTGCGCTATTATATTTCTTGAAAATAGTGTTTCATTTCCGAACACTCACGTAGCGACAACAATATAGATTTTAAAACACCACAAATGAACATTTGATTAAAAACTATGTATACACAGGTATAATAGATAGCATATAATGAATGGACCTTTCTTCCTCTGTATTTTCGAGAACCTTAAGAAGTTTCTAGAAACACGACTTTTAAAGAAAAAAACATAGAATATTTTGCTTTACAAGAATATTAAATTCGTAGACAAAAAAAATATTGTTTTCATATGTAAACATACTAAACAGAAAAAAGTATGAAAATCAGTAGTGCCCCTTTAATAGAATAGAACTGATTCTAATAGTTGATTTTGAACACTTTCATTGATCGATTTGTCAACGTCAAAGCTTTATCTGTGAATCAAAATTTTCTACAAGACTGATTATCTTGTTCAAAGTAAATTTCCAGCTTGAAAAAATTAAATTCATAGAAGAAATTTGGTTGGAACAGTTAAATGATAACTGTGATAAGGAAAGAAAAAGAAATCACGTCATCGAATGACGAAAGAAAAAGGTGCAGTGCGTATTGAATATAATATTAGATGGAAATATTTGTTCGAACTACATTGAAGCTTGTATTGAACACAAAATAAAAAGACAATCGTTATATATAAATATATATCAGTTCAGAATGCATTAAAAAATGGATTGCAAACAAAATCTTATTTTCTGCTAAATTCGTTTTCTTATTGATGAACCTTAAAATAAACAAACTTCTCAATTCACTTTATATACCTATAAAGCGCAAATTGTGTTCGCAAATGTATCCGACTAGAAAAATATGTTAACTAACCCTTTCAGACCCGTCATGCTAAATATAGTGCGATTTTTAAAGTTTTATAATCCTTGAATAACTCGCTAATGCAAAAAAGATATGAAGAAAATGTTTTTCTATTACATAGAGGAGGTTTCAGTGTACGTATCTATAAAAGAGTTATGACTCTGATAAGGCCACTAAGGTAGTAAGCCTGATGGTACTTTGCAGAACCGTTTCCATTCTAAAAATGAAGACGGACAATGTCCTTTTGTGGCTCGCGAAACGGTTTGATTTTTACTGCTAAAATTAAGTTAGGAGTGACTCCTAGTGATGTTCCAAGTTTTGATTTGTAGATAAGTCTCAATCGAATTTTATCCCATACCCGTACTCCTCTATGGAAATGAGCAAAGTATTCCATCATCATTGGCGAGCAAAGACCAAAAATGATTTTAAAAGTTTTACAAAAAAGTTTTGATGAAAATAGCAACAATGTATAATATGCATCTTATATATAAAATCTCAATGGAATTGTATCTATTGGTTTAGCTATGACCCTGGAAGAGTTAACCGTAGTAGCTCCCTAAACGTTTATGCAAATTTGATTCTGAAAATCGCTATCAAAATGAATTCCACTTTTCCTGATTTTTTTATAAATTCCTGATTTTTATTAAAAATTTTCCTGTCTGCTTTCCTGATTTTTGGATATACGCCGCTGCGACCCCTGCTAATGGGAATCACAGAAAATATATGGTAATCAATGACGATCAACAAAAATAAATAGATACCCGACAAAATGTTCATTATATATCAGAGAAAAAGTGTGTCTTCAATAGAAACGATCTGTAAGCCCATACGATGCGTATGAGATGGACTATACTGACCATTCTGATGGACCATTCCGTTGGATTCTGATTTCATCCATTTATTTATGAGTGACCTACGATTACTGATGAAAAATGAATCATGGTCGATTAAGAATAATGAGTCTGGTCCTTATACCCAAACTGCCAAGCTTCTGTTCTTTTGTAGTGTATCGGTGAGAGTCGATTCCACATTTACTAAAAATAAACGTACTTCAAATTCACTGATCCTTTGAAACCATGCCACAGCAGTTTACAGGAATCTGACTCACCGTCAGGTCTACAAAGGAGGGGAGTTGATAAGCAATGAAATCGGCCCCCTCGAGAATCCTCGATTTTTGTCTTACGAAATAGTCACATTAGGTCTTAGAAATTCTTTACCACAGAAATCAGATCGATAGTATGTGATTTAACTGGCTACGACCCTGGGGTTATATATCCATATAAGACGTTATCACTTATCGGGGTCGGTGTGGGTGTGGGTGTGGGTGGATGTAGGTGTGGATGTTATTATTTTTTTGACCGACACCCACACCCACACCTTCATGACATGAAGATGCACTGTTGATTTGATTATTACTTTTATTCAATATATTGTAACAACGTACAATATACAGCGTTTTTTGTATTCAAAATGGTATCGACCGAGATGCATTTATTATCATTTGTTTGAGGAATGACGTGAAAAAGACCTCCTACCTATTAGATAAATGCAATGATAAATAAAACAAGCCATTTTATCTGAGATTTTTGTTTCGTTTGAATACAAATCTCATTTCATTCTTTCCCGTTAAACATCTCTGAAAGATGATATCAAAACAAAAAACTATTTTTGTTCTGTTATTGTTAGTAGGAGAACTTGTTTGGCAAATCGATGGTTGCACAGACAATGAGACTTTGACATTGAAAAATGATGGCTACCAATATGCCCGTGGTAAAGATCCATTGATATCAGCTTTGTATCGAGAATGGTGGTTCTTTACACTGTATGATATACAAATTGATATTGGATTTTGCATAGGCTACGCTGTCTCAGATCCAGCGAAAATATTTGGTGAACAGGGAGCTGCAGTTGGTGGAATGTTGTGGACTTCAGTAACAAACAATACCGGACAAGACTCGATCGATGTTTCGGACGTATATAACTATGAACAATTTTCTGCTCACAAGGAAAACGCAACTGTGACAATTGACCAAAATTTCATCAAAGTTTTAGATGAAACAACATATCAAGTCGTTGGTAGTTCGCGTAATGAACAAATACGTTGGTCGTTGACATTCAAACAATATTCCTATGCGTGTAGACAAAAAGAAGATGTGCCAGAATTATTAGATTTGGATTGGATCTCATATATGCCTAGTGCACGTGTAGTCGGAGTTATTCAATACAATAATCAAAACTTTACAATCAATACTACTGGTTATCACGATCACAACTATGGTGCATGGCCAACAGATCTTTTTAATTGGATTTGGTCACAATTTCATCGTATTGACAAAGAATTTTCATTTGTTTTAGGTGCTTATCATATCCCATTGACTGAAGATGATTATGTTGGATATATATTTATTCGATATCGCGGTCAAAGAATTAAAATTGGAACATTATGTGGAAACCAATTTCATTTAAAACCATTAGAATGGAAGATTATCGATGGAAAAAAATATTCCATTCATACGAAAGTAGAAACATCAGACGATAATTACAAAATCGATATCGAATATAAAGCAAGAGTGAATAACAAAAATCCCGGTGATCGTGGTTTAGGACTCAAAGTTTTCGAGCAAATTTCATATTATCAAGTTTCTTTCTATCAGAAGCAGGGACAAGATTGGTTACCTCTTGAAGAAAATCTAACCGGTTACGGATTCAGCGAATGGAGTCATACAAATCTTTGATTGACAATATTTTTTTTAAATAAATCATAAACGATCAAATACTAGTTTGCAATTAAAGAATATAGTTTTCAATATCGATGGAGTAAGGTTATGCTTCATTTCGGTAGCTACTCCGAGTCACTGCGAATAGGTATTAGACCCTTACTCAAAGAAGTAGAACAAAAAATATATCGATCCCCACCAATGACAAGTTTCTACTTGGTTTACTGGTGAATAAAATCAAATTCATGTCATTAAAATGGCGAAAAACATTGAAAACTAATCGAAATAATACGGTAATGTCTCAAAATGTCCAAAAAAATCTCAAAAGGAAGAATGCCAAAATTAAAATCTCCAAAAGAAAAATGTCGAATGCTGTAAAACGACTATTACCGTCTAATAGATAGATTTATTAAACATTGTATTGTGAGAAAAATAGATTGAGAATAGCATAAGTCGATACCGAAAAATAATTCAAAGAGTTCATTTCTTCATAGCTACGAACAACGAGAGCGCTTCGATGTATTCTTGCCAATCGATTTCATCGTTATCGAATCGAGCATGGAGTATATTCAAGTGCATTTGCAAGGCCAGAACTGACCTAGCCCTTTTCTTTTAGCCACCAGACATAGCTTTGAAGAGCTGTTGTCGAAAAAATAGTTTATTTTTCTTACATTTTCAATAAATGTTCAAACGTTGGGATGAGATCTCAAAATTCTCTTGTTGAATCGATTATTTCAGACTGATCAAGGGAAACCAAGAAGCGATTACTCGTGGAAAGAGAGAGAAGAGCATGTCCTTAACGTGATTATTGGTTCTAACATGCAAGTCACCAAAGTTCCAAAGACACAGAAGAAGAATTTAAGATTCAGTGAGGTAGTTAGAGAGAGAAATAAGAAATCAGCAAGTACAAAACAGAGAAATGGTTAAAGAGAGCACCGTAGAAGTGAAGTCATCAAGTGCAGAAACAGGGATGATAACATCTGTACGAATAAGAAAGTGGGGAGAGAAAATAGTAAACTGATCGATCTTCTTGAGCTTTCCCTTTTCGACAACTTTCCTTTCGAGATTTTGAGACATATCCAATAATACAATTGATTTCATTTTCTTCAACACATCAAATCCATCTTATGAAAACTAATCAAAATAATGAAATTTTTTCATTTTTAAAATTCTAATCAAAGTAATGAAATTATTGTAATTAAACGGCTAAAACTAATCATTATAATGCAAGTATTTTGGTTTTTTGACTTCTTGGAACGTTTTCACGCTGAGATACCGTGGTATTTATTTTGCTGTTTTGAAGGACTACAAAAAAGGCCAATTGAGAGATATGTTGAGGAAACATTTTGTAGGTATTCTCCGAGCCTTTGTCAACAATATTTTTCATGTGCAACAAAAGCACAGAAAATATAAGTAAGAAAAGAATGAGATAAAACGATTTATGAAGAATTTTCTTATCGTTCCGTTTACAACTGTCAATACACAGAAGAGATATGAAACTTTATTGTCACTGCGTATATCGGTATGTCCTTGATCCGTGCTCATAGAATTCTTTCATATACACATAATCGAACAACGACTAAATTTTAGAACCATAGCCACTAATTCTTGCACGTCTGCATCGAGCATCTGTCTTATTCTTGTTCTCTATATTTTGCAAGGCATATATCTTGAACTCACATACAGTATGTTAATATTTTTAATTGCTCGTGGTGCAACGTGGAAAGATCGAGGTACATTCAATTTCGCCTTTTATCCATTCTCATTGAAACTCTTTTGGGCGCCATTAATCGATGTTCTCTACAGTAAACGCTTTGGCAGACGTAAGTCATGGCTGGTACCCGTACAATTGAGCATGGCTGGAATTTTTTTGCTACTATCATTCTATGTAGAATCGTTGATAGTTAACAATCATGTCATATTGCTCACTGTCATTTTCTTTGCCATTATTCTTCTTACCGCTACTCAAGATATTTGTGTTGATGGTTTAGCTATCTCGTTGTTTACTGCGACAAATCCTCAATGGACATCAACTTCTCAAACTGTAAGACAAACATTGGGTCGTTTTCTTCGACCTTCATTTCTTTTGACCTTGGAACCGGCCAATTTCACGAATCGATATATTCGTGAGCCTCTTTCACTGAATACTCAAGTATTCGGCTTATTCTCACTGGAACAATTTGTACGTTCTGTCGCTGTGGCTTTTCTGGTTGTCACCACGTCTCTGACCGTATTTTTTCGTGAGAAAAAACAAGTGTCAACTATAGAGGACGAAAAAACAAGTAGCCTCTCTCTAAAGGAAACATATCTTTCAATTGTGAAACTTTTCAAAAAGAAGTGTATTCGACAGTTAACTCTCGTTTCACTTCTCGCACCAATTTGATTAGTGGCTGTCGATTATATGACCTTGTTGTCACTCATAAGGTGAGTGGAGAAAGTTTCGTTTTTGAAATTTATTCTTATCGGAGCTCTCAATCTTGAGACAAGAAAGCCCATTTGAACCGAACTGCTTTAGTTCTTCAAATTTTCTTTTTCAGGGTGTGGGGTGTGGATGTGGGTGTGGGGTGTGGGTGTGAGTGAATACAAGACACACCCACACCCACAGCCACAGCCACACCCCACACCCACGCCCACATCCCACACCCCACACCCACACCCACACCCCACACCCACACCCATCCACACCCCACACCCACACCCCACCTAGTTTTGAAGAGAATCTATTTTAAGTAATTTCTGTCATATTTTTATTTTCTGATGTCTCTGCTCGAACCAGATGTCGCCCATCGTAGTGCATTCGACATTGATTGATATTTCTCGCTATGCTTTATATCATCAGACCACGTACTAAGAGGAGAGCTACAAAAAAAAGAATTTTTTATTTACAGATATTTATTGATAAACATGCATACTTTATTAATGTTTTTTGGTCTCGTTATTGGACTTTATATTTTTTTGATTATGTATTGTCATAAAACAACTCAAGGAAATTGTTGAAGATCGATTTATAATGTTACATTCAGTGATCAAGATTGTATGGTATTTTATATAAGTTCGTTGTTTGAATATTTGATAAAATATCCAATTGATCATATTATACATACAGCAGTAACAATAAGAAATAATATAAATGCATTATGCATATGTTTTGCTTTTCTTCTTGGTGTGTATGGATGGATAAAGCATACAGTGGAAATGCAAGATGGGACAAGAGCGGTTTATTTTGAAATAAAATCGACAATCGAAGCTACATTAAAAGAAATTTGGCATTCCCTACACTTTTCTATCGTCACAATTTGGTCTTCGTTTTCTATTATAATGTTTGTCCAACTCTCTTTTTTTATTTTGTTATTATTATCTATCCCTGATGCAATTGAACATTTTAAGAAAGCACTCATTAAATTCTCAAAGATGTAATGATCGGTTTATTTTATTATTTTAAGTTCATTTTTGTTTGTTTTGAAGCATCAATAAAAACTTCATTCTCACTATTTTAATCTGGTCAGATTTAATTTAAAAGTTTCTATTTATTTATCTCTCCTAAAATGACACAACTCTTTATATTTAATTAGAAAAATAAATATTTCTTTCTCCACGATATTTTTCTAATGATATCGACTAGAGAATTGAAAGATGATCATTAAATATTTTCGCTGATTTTTTAAATAAATATATTGAAAAAGTAATCTCATATAATTGTTTGTTTATCAAACTTTTCAAAGATAGAATTGTATTCTAATGTAATGTAATCTTTTTATTCTATTCATTTAAAAACAAAATATTAATTATATAAATAATAAATGGAAAAAAAACTAGGTAAAATGATTATTTTATAAATTATTGGAGATAGATATACGAACTTCTCTATAAGTGAATAGAGATAATCTTAATCTATATTCAGGCTGATGAAGAACATTGATTGATAAAAAAATTCATAGAGAAATAAGAATTTATTTTAATGAACCGTAGAGATATTTTTTTGTTGTTTTACTGTTTAAATCAATCGATCCATTGATTTCTCACTGAATACGAAAAGAAGAGATTTTTGGATACATCGGCATGACTAAAATAAGAGAAAGAAAAGATGTCTTTTCAAATGAGCTTTATTCCCATATCACTTTTTGGCCAGGAACATAGAGAAAAAATGGCCACACACTTATACGATTGTTGCTAAGAGCGGTTCTCTCTCTTTAATGTTCTTTTTTTTTTATTTATTTATTTTTGCTTTAACTGATGGTCCTAAGACCCTAACAGTACAAATAATATGAAGAAGAGAACAAGAAATGAGAGAAAGAAAGAGAGATCACATGATGAACGGGAACATAGAAAGGAAGGAGAGCTACAACGAAAAATGAAAAACGAACATAATAGAAAATGTCAGAAGGAATCAGGAAATTCCATGAGGATATGAATATCACATATATCGTAATCAAGAAGAGAATGAGAAGAACGATTAGCAGAGCACCACTGTACACATTTTTCCAGTATAGATATATGTTGTACATATCTTTTAGACTTATGCAGGCCTTTTATTGGGAATTCTTTTAACAGCCAAGCTTTTCTAAATTGATTTAAATTGGCCAACTCGAATAACAACTCACCATCAACTGAATCAGAAAGTGCAGTGGGATATCGATCCCAATAGTTACTACATCTATCTTCTAGGGGAATTTCATCGAAAACATAAGCAAAGAAATGATCAGACCAGTGGAGGCAATGAAAGATTCTTCTAAGAGAGATATAATAGAAGTACGATAGATCATTTTGTTGCTTGTATGTGACAAGGGGGAAGAGAGCGAATAACCATGTAAATAATGGAAGTACATATGACTGAAACAACGTTTTTCTTAATGAAGTGGACGTGGTGCCAGTAATACGAAATGAATTTACTAAGGACACTCTCTGACGAATCTTAACTAGGGTGTTATTGATCATAGTGCTCCAACCTAGCTTTTGTGTAATCCAATACCCAAGGTATTTAAACTCCTTGACCCATCTAATTTTCGAATTTCCATAGT